AAATGTCCCCAACCTTGTATCTATAACGGCATGTTCATCATACATGTACATTGAGCAGTGGCGCCGTCATATCATTCTGTCTTTTTATTGAACTTCTAAAAGTTACAGTATTGCAGAATGTGACACTATTACAGTATTACTAATGTGACACTATAATGGTACAAATATGACTGGAAAATCATTTTCCGAGTTATATCTGTTCCCTGTTTAATAGATTAACAATGTAGGGTATGTTACACACAGACAATTTTCAAGCAATTTTCATGGTTTCGTCATAGAGGTTGTAAATTCTCGCCAAGTAGGACAATATAAAATACTGTCGTTGATTATTGTGCACCAGCACGAGTTCTCCCCATGATTCGTTGCTTTCATTAGCTGTCTGATTCATGCTTCACGGCGCATCACTTCTTATATACCCAGGTTTATTGCGTTTTGTGGCGAACTATAAATGAGAATATCTGGAAATTAGACTGTATGATAAACAACATTGGATTATGTTCTACGATATTGCAGTACAGATACTTTCCTCGTGGTCGTTAAAAAGTTTCCCTGTTCCCACAATCGCACCACGCAGGTATCTCAATAAATGTTTTATGTGCTCATTTTCACTTCCACAATGGGAAAGAAACTTTTGTCCACACAAAATATCATGCCTATGATCACCAATATGGCTATAGCCTGCGGGAAGGAGCCCGTTACCGTCTTGAGAATGATGGTCGTTATTACAACATCTAGAAGGTATTCAGTACAAGAAATAACATAACACAAGGTTGATTTTATGGTTACTGCCCAGACACCATTTATGATGCCTAACCACAAAGTACAGTAAGATTCTGTCAAGATTTAGTTTTGCGTGCATTGAAATCCTACAGTAAAACATATCAACAGGCGTGCCACCATATCGGCAGTGTGCTTGTTGTAAGTATTCCTTACTATCCATTTAAGGCTTACTCATAAAGGAATCATACTCTGTATAACGTGCGTGTAGACTCTTAACAATCATTCATGTATCTCCGACCGAATATGGTGATTCAGATCCTCGTAAAAGTAGACTATCACATTTCTGACGCAAGTCGATGATGAGTTTCAGTTATTCCAGCTATAACGGTTGAATCTGCTGACCAGGAGTGAAAGTTAATGCAATTGACATTTCAGTCTGATGCAAGTCAGTTGGAAAGTTTTAGAAGTAAAAGGTGAAACAAATTTTTCAGAGCCACTGTTTTGGAGGATAATATGCTTCTTCCGGAAACGAGTGTACCTAGTAGAGAGATATCTAGTAGAAATCTAAATGAAGTATGCAAAATATCTAACACGTACACAATTCACTCCTACATTAGAAAGCTCCACAGATTCTTAACTGCTTTAGGCGTAGTCCTAAAATATGTCCGTTTATAGAAAACTAACTACTTGCCACTGCTGAAGCTGCACGTAGCGACTATCTACTTATAAATTTAGTATTTCTTCCAGCGATTTACAAGGAATGAAACTCATCTAATCAACTCCACCCATATCCCATTCAGTGTAAGCTGATCTATCACACTAGTAACATATCAAACGAGCGAATTTGCAGACGCTTATGACCTGTGTCAAACGGATTGCCGCTGCTCCAACAAACCAATTGGACAGCCATCAACGTCCAATTTGCAACCAGATTGTCTCAATCTTTCGATATCAGCAGTAACTCAACTGGAAATATTAAAACTCACTGTTTCTGACTATAGAACGTGATTTTCTTGAAGTAGTTCCAACAGTTTAAATCAAAGGCGTGCCCTGAATGCTCTATTTGTAACTTAGAGTGGTGATTTGCCTCAAGCTGCTGAATAGCTTGAGTGTCGGAGGCATCGTTCTGTCAAGTTTTGGTAAGGTCTAACAAGTACCTGTAAGTGTCACTTAATCAAATAATTGTCCTATTCCTTCCAGGAATTATACAGCGAAGACGCTACATGTGGCAGGCTCCTTATAGATCAATGGCCGCATATTCATCTGGTCTTACGGTATTCATTACGTTCCCTAGTCCTAGAACACGACCAAGTTATACAGCTCATTGCTTCAACTACTCTTTGCATTAACGTCTGATGTTCGCATTGATCCAGATAACAATGTAACTAGCGTGGGAGGTGGCATGGAATTGCATCTGCTGAGGCTTATCTTGGGATTTACGTCGGATCGATTTAGGGATGAATGTGTCATAATCCGCGCAAATTGTCAAGTCCGTAGGTTTCTGATGAGGGTGAACTTTGACGCTCTAGCAAGCAGATAAATTTCCACTTTAGTATGCAACAGTCACGCCAAAATATACAAAAAGAAATCAATGATGCCATATTTCAGCAAATGTGGGTTGCATTCTAATCATATTGTGTGGAACACAAAAGACATATGTCGCTAGATTGCTCGTAAAGAATCTCGATATTACTTTCTTGACTTTGTTCTTCCACAAAGATATACAAATGTATAAAGACGGTATATGACAGGCATTAATTTCTGATCACCCACAGCACGAAATGTTTTGTCGGAAAGGCTTTAGCAGTGATGGGAATGTCATTATCGGTTAATGCAGCTCTATGCCCTTTCGACATTCTGCGCTGGAGGGAAGCTGTAAAGGAGACTGTTTTGCGTCACGACAAGCGGGGGGTTGCACATCACAAGAGCATGATGAATGATGGATGAAGTAGTCTCTGTCGGTAATGACGGGGTTAGTCTCTAATCTAGTTTGACATCTTGGTTGGGAGTTGAACCACCACGTGGTTAACATTGGCAGTATGAGAAGTGCAGCGCGTCTCCCAATGTTATTAGCAATGATGCATATCTGTCGTCCTCTTGATGTTTTGTACCCGATAGTGGCATTTCAAAGATGCACTTTATATCTTGTACTTTGCCTAGGATTTGTGAGTGATACTGAGGTCAATTCCATACCGTGTTAGATTCAATGTTCTGGGGTCACGACATTACATGAAATGTTACCAGAGTGCCTCAGGGCATTATCCAGTCTCACTACATATTTGTGTGCTTATGAAGTATGAATCCAATGGCTCATGTGTATCACATCCCGTCAATGGAAGATCAACCTGCTAAATGAAAGCGGATTGAAATAAAGCTCAACGTACTCACGACGCCCACCGTTAAAGAGATGTTTTGATGCACAAGTCCAGACAGTGTAACCAGAAATACAGATTGAGATTCAGAATAAAGCACCCTTATCTTGCTATCAAATGATGTGCATCTAGCTGAGTAATGGGAGTCAGAGACGTTTGTATGGCATTTTGCCAACACGATACCTTACCGGCGAAATATCAAAGGATATCTAGGTGTAATCTACATGTACGTGCTTCATGTCAGGTCTAAATGCCAATCCCAACAAGAATCATAACCACCAGAACAAGCCCTACAACTTCCCAGGAAACTGTTACCAGTGATATATACCTACATGCCATGTTACAACAGCCTTGGGGAACATGTCAACGGTATTCCACAGTGTGAATGTTTTTCCGTCATTTCAATTTTGTTTGACGTAACATTGTGTCATGTATGTCAGGCTGAAAAACGTTGAAACCACCAGAACAAGCCCTACAACTTCCCAGGAAACTGCTACAATCCACATAGAGATGAAGACATGTACCCCTGTTGTCAGGGACCCGTCAAGTCTCAAGCCAAAAGTCACCACCTTATTAGCAATCATTTGCATATGGGTAGGTACGCATCCCCAAATATGAGCACTGTGATACTGATGAGATGGGTATAGGGGGGTGGGATTAATTGACGGATAATGAGAGCTAGCTAGCATGGTGTCCTATCTTTCAATTTATGGAGGAGTGAGGACATTAGTTTACAGCTATCATTGATACAAGACAAATACACAGCTCTTGAGAGAATGGATTATCTTACAAAATGTTATTCTTGAACCATAGATGGAAATTGGCTTAATGGTAAGCAATGTCACAACACTGCCTTTCCTTCGACACAGCCTAAAATTAGAACTTGGACTTGGTCCCCAGGACGATAGGTTGCACTTGGGGATGGTTTTATGGACACAAATCCTGAAGTAAAAAACATGATCCTTGGGTCAGAAGGGTTGTCCAGCCCTACTGACATATGTAGAATCTTAACATTCCTGGCAAGTAACTTAGTATACACTGTTTAGTAGCCATAGATCATGTTTAGTATAATTAGGTACAACTGCTCACTGTACCCTTCATGTGTATAGTCTAGCGTAATGTAGAATGTACATGTAGAGTCGAAATATTCTCTAGCCAGTAGTTCTTTATAATACTCTGTCAGATACAATGTCCGTTGACCATATATGTAGCATTATGATAGACTCATACCAACTAGTAATCTTATTATTTGCCATACATTGTACCCGTGACAATCGTTGTGCAATAAACTTTGACTTTGACATACATGGCATGACAGCTGCCTGTAGGGCTAAAATAGATAAGGGAGGAATGATACGGGCTATTTTGGGACAACCTGGCTGAATTTGGAGGGTCTGGATAGGGGATATCGCTATCACGTTTTTGTTTTGTTTTGTTTACATTGCATAACCTTTTTAGTTTAAACAATCTTAAGTCAAAACACACCAGCTTTCAAAAACATAAATGATCTCAATATAGAAACTGTTAAGTTGCATTTTTGTATTATATAGCTTCTTCATGATGGATACAGGTGTTCTGACCCATATGATACACAGAATCACCCAGGGTTCTAACGGTTATTACTCAGGATTCCAAAAGGTCCTTAGAAAGATTTGAATGCGTTTTGCGTGCCCTGAGTTTGCTGCTTTCAAAAAGTTGAATTCCAGATTCAGACGTTGGAACTGATGTCAAAATCATTTGTTTTGGGACACTTAATTTTCTCAATTTTGGCAATTTTTTCCCATTGAAATGTTTTTTTTTAGGGTGGCCGAGGTTGCAGCCTGACTGTTTTTTATCACCCGACGGCCAAATATATCCGTATATTCAAACACCCTTTGGAGCCCACACATACCACGTATAGGTTGAGCACAGGACGCCCTATAGGGTGTAGCATTGGGGGCCACCGTAACACCAATCAACATGCTCTAAAACCTCTGCCACAAGGGTAAGTCTTCTCCTTTAATTTCCTCCTTATGTACCTGACTTCTCACACAACCTGTACATATGGTAGGCTGCATTTTTCTGCAGAAGCAGCAGTACATGTACAAACCAACAAGATTTTATACTCCAGGACAGATCATGATTTGACATTTGTTCCTTGCTTAAAAATAGCAACAGGATAACAACAATGACTTTGGAAGAGATGGTGGAACAAAATTCTGAAGTAGAAAAATTTTAAAATTTGAAGGACTTTAGAGAACTATCAATAATATGATGACCATGCTTTGCTTTTGTGGGTTTTCTCTGAAGATTCCACCACAACCTTGAGGTATAGTCTGTGGTATCATGTGACATGTACATGTAGTGAATTGTAAATTTAATCTGTAAAGAATCATTGTAAATGGAGTAGGCAAAGTTTAAGATTTGAACTGTTTGTAAATTGAGTAATTTTTCAACAATGCCAAGGCGACGACTGAATGATATATATATATTATTTCATATGGTGGAGCTAGCAATCAACAATTATCAGAAAAACATATTTCCCTATGTTATAAAGACATGCACGTAGTGAAATTTACAGGCTGGGTGGAGGAGGTGTGGGGCAATATACCAAATACACGTATAGGAGGAATCAGCCGTTCTTCCCCAGCAATATAGATTTTATGATGACATACTTACTTACTTTACTTTGGTCGAGTTCCCGCTAGAACCAAACTTAAAACCATCCTCCACTTCACTCTATCTTCCACCAGAGACTGGATTTTATGTCTGGTCTGAAGTTGTTACTCCTTTGACTTTTTTTTACCTTTTGTGGGTTCCAAAAGGACGGATAATTTCTTTTCTCTCTGTGACCTGTTTGAATATGGTCTTTGGCCAAAGACAGCTGTGCTCTCTGTCCATGGTGTGGGGAGAAGACTGATGACCAGTAATTAATCATGCCAGGCATCTGGATGGGTGGCACGTGGGCACTCGGGGTAAGTTACCTGCTTGGTCCAAAAACCACATGGCCAAAGGTTTCCTCCAAACCAATTCCCTGGGGAACGCATTCGTGCAATTTTTGAAATTCTTTCAAAGCGATCGTAGTACTTGCACAAATGCCTCCGCCCCAAAGGCGTCGCCAAAAAATTACATGGTAGGATAAGATTGGTACATAGAGACAAACCTTTTCGTCAAGCTGTTTTTTTTTCTCACAATAGAGTTGGATGCTCCTCCAGTCTGATTCGACAGAGTAGTCGTCAAATCGATGCATGTATATTATTTGGAGAATCTGGTATGGGGCAGCTTCGATTGCTGTTGTAGTTGCAAATAGACATTGCCACACCAGCCGCAGATCGATCCTCTGGATCTTGGAAGATGTTTCTGATAGTAACAATAATGTACATACTGATCAGCGAGCTGTAGGAGGCATCTGTCTAACGGCGCGGCTGGCACATTACAAGGTGAGGAACCTTTCGATCCATAGTAACAAAAACAAGACGTATACTTATAGGATCTTCCTGCAGTCTTTGAATGCCAAGGAGTGTAACTTAGAACCTCTTGGTCGGGCGTGGTTGACAATATTTCATTGCCCTATTGCTTTCACCGATCCACTGATTCTAGTCATTACTACAGTCGCACGTTACCAGTTTGCTTTGCACACATGTTGGTAAGTACATTAAATTTTAAAAGTGAGATATTGTGCCACTCTTGGACAGATTTCAGCTGTTAGTTATGAGAAGTTGTGTTTACCAGACTGAAAACGATTGTAATGTTAGCACATGAGCGACCTTAAACAAATCACAGCTACAATCAATTCTTTATCCAGAGGATCATTACTGCAGGTTTGATGACCAGGTCTCCTGGTCAGGAAATGTTCAACCTTGCGTGCAGCGTGTTCACACTTCATTCCTCCTTCCAGCCGAACAAACGGCAGTTTGCATGCAGACGGGTGTACCGCAGCGTAGTTAAGTGGGCTTTCGGCAATCAGTTTGTTGTGGCAGAATACTAAGAGTACGTTAGATGCATTCTGTTTGATTTCGTTCTTGATGGCAGAGCCGTACAATCTTCAACGCCATTAAAACATTCAACGTCATTGATCAAAAAGAATAGCTACACCCACCAGTCTAAACTGGCGCTGTGGAACTGATTACTTGGTATTTGAAAACTTACAATTAGAATTGACAACCATTTCAAAGAGCAAGATTTAGCGTAATTATTGAAAGTCATTCATACATGTATACACATGAGCACCAAGCACGGTTTTTGAGGGTTGCAACTGATTCCACCACTGATAAGAATTTCTAAGACACGGGAGTAGATGGCCTATCACTATGACATGACAGACAATAGATGATAGCTTCTGTGGCAAACGTATATATAAATCATTTTTGTACTTAAAACCTGATACTAGTATGCGTATGGAATTGATATATAAGTACATGGTGACCTAGATCCATGTAGAAACGTCTGCGTTTATATCATTTATTTTGATACTGCAGTGCTAAGCGCAAATTCCTCATTGTACGCATTGGTCATTCCATTTAGTGCCAACCGGTTTCGAAAAAAAAGCTGAATCAGTCACTCCGAATAATTTCCCTAACCAATCACAATGTCAATCAACATAAGCCGTCCCATTTCACCAGTGCTAAAAGGATTACTTCATCGTCGGCGTAATCCATCGTTTGCCAGCACAGCATTAAGTTAATTCTATTGTACTGAATATGTGCACGGTGCACCATGATCTTATAAAACTTAAACTCAGTAGGGAAGTTCATGAGTTCATGAGACTGAACGGGCGATTGACACCATTTCGATTGCAAAATGTTAAGGCGAACGTTGTTTATCTTGAAACACATCCGATTTAGTTACGTACCAAAATTCTTCCTGTCTGGTGCATAATGTGTCAGGTGCATTACCGGCCGTATAAATCGCTGCACGTACATCTAGTAAAATGGTGGTATATTAAATCAGTACGTACGGTTGAAGAAGGAAAAGTTAAAGGAAGTAAAATTACATTTGGATGCTCTGAAATAGGACATCTATCTCCGTGAACATGAACTACAGCACAAAGACGTTATGTTGTAACAGGTACTCCGGCACATATATATCCCTGCGATAGTCAGTTTCTCCTGCCCTTGTGTAGGTCAGAGGCTCCCGGTTGATGTAGAGTCGCGTCCATGATTAATGAGGAAGAGACATAACACCTGATGCTCCAGGGCACACTGGTCATTCGTGAAGACTTGTTACTGATAGCGGTATAGAAAGTCTCAGGGGGAAGAGAAAAATATATGACCTCGTGTTCCAGGGCTCATTAATCAACGTTACAGCGGTGAACCCTGATGAGGGATCAGCCAAAGTGCTGTATGACAATTACCAGGGTACAATGGGCAGGAATCTTATTTTCAAACGACTGTCCGATTGCTTGTTTGTCTCTGATGGGTCATTTTGTCGTTTGTGGTAATACTCTCTATGTCATAAACAACACGAGAAATACGTCGATACATAGCAAGTGACGTGTAATGCAGTATAACGAAGTACAGTGGTAAACATATTCTATTGGAAAATCTGACCACGACTATAAGTATTAGAATGAGTGGATGTGCAGGGTCAGGTTATTTTCTAAATCTAAAGTGTTCCATGTATTATTCGTCTCATTACATCAATGTCTATGGCCCTCTTACAGTCGTATTACTGGACCTAAGGTCTCTCCATGATTAAACGATCGATCACTGTAACTGTCTGACATCAAATTTTGGGGATTACCAAACCTATCCTATATTACTTACCGTATCTATACCGTGTTTAACGTGCAGAGGTCATACACTTAGGAGAATTCCCGAGACACTGATGACCTAGAGACATGCAAATTTGAATTAACCCCCTCACAAGGTCACTCTGAATCACCGATTATTACATTGTCAGAAAAATGGACTGATGTAGTGGACAGCACTTCGTTATTCTAGTTCACAGACAATGTCATCTTTGTGCACGCGTCGATTCATATCAACTACAAACGCGTGTTTCTTTATCAACTTACTTTGTAATAGAGACGAAGAATCAAGTAGAGATAGAATTATTTAAAGGCGGAATAGACCATGGAAATGAAACTTTGAAAGTATTGCCTTTCCTAACTTGGAAGTTTTTGGTGATGAATTTCAACAGAAAACTTTCTACCGAATTGGACACCACCGTAGGGCGGATTGTCACCTTCATAAATATTTATCCTTGTCACTTCACCATTAAACTCCAATCAATTCTTAATGATTTTATGTCGTTCATCACTACCTGTAACTGGGAACTAACGGGTCTGGTGACGCGGAGCTATCTAGGTAATCAACAGGGCTAATCCAAATGTTATTACTTGTGATTTGACGCGTGCATCCGCTTAACACATGCATACGGTCCTCAAATGTTACAGTGGGTTACAGTACATTCCATTAAAGGTCACCTTTATTTCTTTTAATCTTGCGGTAGTTCGTAATTTTCTTAGGTGACAAAAAGGTACGGGTTTTACTTGGTATATGTTCCATTAACGACTTAATATCACAATATAAACAAATAACAGTCCAATGTGGAGCATATAAAATGCATGGCGAGTATTGGAGATACGTGCATCCAACTGCATACGCACCACTGTAATGTCAACCAAAGTTTAGGCTCTAATTTCTTCTATCTGTTTAAGGACAGGGAGGAAGACTAAGAGTACATTTTACAACCTCTCAATGACCAGCATACACGTCTTTTGCTACTTTGTTATAATATCATAGAAGTGTGTTCGTTAGAGAAGTGATGTAAATTAGTGACAAATACAATTTCTGCTCTTTTATCGATCGTACCATCCAATATGTTGATTGCCATCATTTAGGTCAACTTTCCGGTTTCCATGCTGACGTAGGCACGGTTTCATAAATACCTCGATTCTTCATGAGATTTAATTTTTAATATGGGATGAAACATTACACGTGAATCATGTGTCTCTGCTCAGTGCGTTTCGGATGTGTGGTACAGCCGATAACACCATCATGC